ACACCATGTCTATCTTTACATCTCCTTTCTTAGTGATTTCTGATGTCTCAGAAAAGGTGAGATTAGCTGACCATTTCAGATGTGGCACCAAGATTTATCTCACCCGCCATGAAAACGGCCTCTCTTCTGCTCCTGCTGGATTCGGATGTTCTCCAACCGAAGGGGGCTTGGAATGAAGCCGATCTCGCAACCTTCTTTAACCAGTCTTCCTATCCACCAGTCATTATTATATTTCTGGAACAAAGACGATGTTAATTGGAACAGTTCATTATGTACTCCTCCTGCACGCTCATTTAACTTACCTTCTCCTGCTAGTTCCCTACACTTCATATGCCATTGTCCATTTCCTCATTCAGCCCATAGTGCACTCCAAAAGGATAATCCATCATGTATGACACACAAAGGCAAGAGAGCAGACAGCAAAGTCAGGGAGATTTCTAACAGGGACAATGAAGGGAAAGGGTCAAAATAGGATGCTATGTCCTTCACTAGCTTTGTCAACTCCAGTCACACAGAATCAATATAAACACTGAGGTGAAGACCCTTTCCTCACATGTTATCTTTCCATCTGCAGGACGATTCTGACATGGGCATACCAGGTCCGTAGCCATGGGAGGGCTGACAGGGGCCACACCTCCTCACAGACGTGCCCTGCCCTCTCAGGGATCATGCGGGACTCCCTCCTCGCAGTTGCTGTCAAGCAGAGCGATCCCAATCGACAGCAACATTCGCTGCTCCACCACCTCTGGCTGTGGCATTGTTGTGTGAACAGTGGCATGAATGGGGCCGGGTGGGAGCCAGCAACAATTGCAGTTGCCACAGGAGGCAAAGACGGAGCCAGAGCAGGAGACGGTGGGGAGGCATGGTCAGGTAGGCGAGGCCTGTGTGCTGGGACTGAGTGCAGTCAGAGCTGCCTGAGGAGACAGGGAGGAAAAGTCCAGGTGGCAGCAGGAGTGGCACAGCAATATTTTGCGGTGGTACCTGCTGCAGCAAGTCGAGATCTTTCTTCATGACAGACGGGAGCAGCCCAATGTGAGCAGTGGGGAAGGCCCTCTCAGGGTCACATGGAGGAAGAAGAAGCCCCTCCACAGCCGTCCCTGAGAGAAGCCAGGAGGAAGGCAAAGGAGGAGCCGCCTCCACTGCCTGTTGTCCAGCAGCAGCCGTCATCATGAGCGCCACTTCTTTTCCTCCTTCCTTTCCTGAAGCACCACACCTTCTCCCCACCACCATCTTCCAGCAGTCCCACCCTTGAGAGGGGGGCCTACCCGGGGGGGGGAGTGGGGGGGCTGAGAAGTTATCCCTGTCCTCACAGGAGTGGGCTGAGGGGGGGGGATTGGGTCATTCACCCCCCCAATCCCATTAGCTCCATTAATTCCCACCAATCCGGCTAGCTCCCATAAGTCTACCCCCATCCCCTACTCGCAGGTTTAGCCACTGTGCTAAACTGCCCCCTATTCCCCCCCCCCAGAAATGTCTGGCTATGGGGCTGGCATAGACAAACATCCTGAGGCAGTGGACCACATGTCCTTCCAGAGCATTTGAATTAAGTTCTTAGTACCCTGTTTCCCCGAAAATAAGACCTACCCCCAAAATAAGCCCTAGCAGGATTTCTATGCATTTGTGGTATAAGCCCTAGTGTGTCTTCTTGAGAAAAAATAAATACAAGACAGTGTCTTATTTTCGGGGAAACACGGTACATGGGTACACATAAGTTAACACCTATTTTTGTCTTCCGTTTATTGTACACAGCTTCCAATTTACCTTAATTCCTCTCCATACTCACACCTTTATCTAGATTGTAAGCAGATCTTGGACCATAGCACAACAGAGTTGTCTTCCATGGCTGTACAAAGTCACATCCAAAAGATTGCAGGAGGAAACCCCCCCCCCCAAGAGTGTTCAAATTCTGTCCCTTACAGAGCAGCTCCTTTTCTCTGCCTCTGGGCCCAGCCTTCCCCCCACATATTAATCTGAGATTCTCCCTCCTCCTTTCCTATTTTCATACCCCACTATAGTGAAAAGCGAAATTCACAAATCACAATGCAAATTAAAAAAAAAACACCTCTGCAGAGGGACAGTCTTGGAAAACATAAAATAATTTCTTATTAATCATGTTCAAGCACCAAAGGCATATAGAAAGAGTCTAACGGGAAAGACAGGAGAGATTATACCAGTGAGGGAGAGCCGGAGGGTTTTGGAAACAAAGTCAAAGAAGAGACACTTAAGAGAGATTT